GTTCCTTTGTTCAGAAGCAGTGGAGCAAAGATGAAATTAACATCATCTGTGCTACAGTGGCATTTGGAATGGGTATAATTTGTTGTTCCTGATCACTGCCTTGATTAACCGAGAACACCATGTACTAACTGGTATGTTTTTGCAGGCATCAACAAACCAGATGTCCGCTTTGTGATTCATCATTCTCTTCCAAAATCGATTGAAGGTTACCATCAGGTAATCATATCCTTACCTTTTAAAGGTGTTCACATTACAACTGTTGATTGTTCAGAATTGAGGTACAAGTATTTGGTTCCTTGATGACCACAAGCTAGTAACGATTTCACCAAAATTTCCAGGAGTGTGGTCGTGCTGGCAGAGATGGTCAACGCTCATCCTGTGTGTTGTATTACAGTTACAGCGACTATGTAAGCTAATGTCACAGAATTCATGTATCTTATTTCTTGTGGATTTTTTTTTCTTTTTGCAATGGTGTCATAATAAATGCGATTTATTGACCTTTCCTGTTCATTGTTATCTTTGATTGAATTATTTATCTATTTTCTCATCCTTTCTAGATACGAGTCAAGCACATGATTATACAAGGACAAGCAGAGCAAAGTCCCTGGACAGCTGGATGTGGTCGCAATACTATGAAAAGTTCAGATAGGATACTGGAAAAAAACACTGAAAATCTCCTGCGAATGGTAACTGTTATGAAACTATTTGCTGTTGTATTGTGGCTGCTGGTAGTATATCCATCTGTTTTCTAACTTCTTACATTCTAAAATATGACTACTCCTGGTTCAGGTCAGTTATTCTGAAAATGATGTCGATTGCAGACGTCTCTTACAACTTCTGCATTTTGGAGAAAAGTTTGATGCTGGAAACTGTGGGAATACATGTGATAATTGCTCCAAGATCAAAACTCTAGTGGAGAGGGATGTCACTGAGAGTGCAAAGCAATTGGTTTGAAACTGATTTGTTGCATTTGTTATTTTCATTGTGCCTACTTGAAAGTAGTAGCTATTATTTTATGCAGGCATAGTGCATTTGTCGCTTCCTTATTCTTTAAAATTTGTATTTTGTCTTTTCTAGGTTGAGCTGGTCAAGTTAACTGGGCAGCATTTTTCATCATCTCACATTTTAGAAGTCTACAGGGGTTCCTTAAGCCAATTTGTATGTCCTGAGAACAAAAAGAAATGCCTATCTTATTTAGATGTCATGTCCTTGCATAACTTCATGGTGTTGCTGTCTGAACCAGGTCAAGAGACACAGACATGAGAACTTGAGCCTTCATGGAGCTGGAAAACACCTAGCCAAGGGTGAAGCATCCCGTATATTGCGTCATCTTGTTATTGAGGATTTTCTTGCAGAGGATGTTAAGAAAAGTGACATTTATGGATCTGTATCGTCAGTGTTAAAGGTGCTTGTGTTTTTTCAAATTCTATAGTGCTTAAGTCATTGTGATAGAGAGAGCGACTCTACCATTCTCATTGTTTAATTTCTCATGTTAAATGTTTTTTGATTTGTGATTTTATTTTCTTTCAGGTGAATGAATCCAAGGCACGCAAACTATGCTCTGGTGGGCAAAGGATTGTTTTAAGGTGCAGCCTTTCAGCATGCTTCTTTTGAGTACATGTTTCATTAGACTTATGCCAGTGTTTTATTGCCAAATGCCAACTATAACTATATAACTTGATTATTCTCTGAAGAAGCATGTGGATATTGAGCATAAGAGAAAATAGAACCGACACCAGGTCTTAGTTCATTTGGGTTGGATTGTTTGGTCTAAACCATTCCCTTTCATTGGGCAAAACCTAGGCAAAACACGTTTTTGCAAAGAAATTCAGATGAAGCTGTCAGAAATCTGGCCAAGTAAGTTTTGTTTTGGTTGGTCCAGATGCTTAACTTTGGAGCTACTGGTTATAAAATTTACAATTTACATATGGCATCAGCGAGGGTGGCTTTGACTAAAATATGGAGACCGAGAGTTGGATGAAGCCAGCAAGCTTAGCCTTGTGCTTTGCTTAGCCTCACATATTATGATCCTCTGGACAAACCATCATCATTTAACCTTTCTGTTTTTCGTAGCTGAAATGAACAGGTAGGATGCTGATTCTGGTATTTCATGCACCTTGTAGATTCCCTTCCTCTGTAAAAGCTTCAAAACAGGGCAAATCTGAGGCTACTCCAGCAAAAGGCTCACTCATGTCCGGGAAGTTAAGTCCTCTGCAAGCTGGTAGTCCTGCCCAACCTCAATCTGAAGTGGACTTGGTATGCTTATGTCTTGGGTTTTTGTTCTCTTCCTTCATCATGATTGATGAGATCCCTGGCCATCTATTAAACTTTTAACATGACAGAACCTGTCGGCCAAACTATTCTCTGCTCTGCGAATGCTTCGAACTGCTCTTCTGAAAGAAGCTGGAGATGGTGTTATGGCGTACCACATATTTGGGTGAGCTTTCAGGTTTTTCCTTTTCAATATATATATATATATATATATATATATCAATCATGCTGAATTTGAAAGGAGCCATCTATTGGAATATTTTTCCTGATACGCCCACCTTGTTTCCGTGTAGTAATGCCACGCTGCAACACTTGAGCAAAAGAATTCCCAGAACGAAGGAAGAACTCCTGGAGATCAATGGCATCGGAAAGTAAGTTTTGATTTTAGGCTGTGAGGTGATTATTTGGCGGGCATTCTTTCTGTTATTGAGGGCTGAAAGGACATTTTTCCAATATTCAGGGCCAAGGTCAGTAAGTATGGAGATCGATTGCTTGAAACCATTGAATCTACCATTAGGGAATACAATAAGGGAGACAGAAATAGTAGCGGTAGCAACGAAAGTACTGATTCAATAAAGAGGAGAAGAGATGCAAGCAAGGCTCTGAATGGGAACATGGAAGAAGATGATGAATTCACCAAAAGCACTGGCCGGTCAAAGAAAAGGACAGCGACGAGGCAGAACAAAGGTTCCGAGGTTCATAATTCTATGGAGCCTGTTAGCTGCAACCAGTTCCTAGATGATGACCTGGATTTCAAAGATTCCTATCATGATCTGGAAGCTGATGCTTAGAAGGATGAAGAGGATTTTACTGGGAGAGTGCGGTCATCATTGTAAAATCCAGGCAAGAAGGTGCCAAATTCTATCCAAAATAAGTTTCAAGAACATGCCTTGCAACAGTTACGTGCGTTTCATCTCTATGCTGCTGGAACAGAACTCAATGTATACAGTTTTGGATTAATCTGGTCATAAGTGGTAACTCTTTCAAGAGGATGATCATGGCATTAACGGTGAAGCACTTCAAGGTGGAAGTCAAGAGGAAGCTAGAAGGTTTCAGCAGTTGCGTTTGAAGCTTAAGATGGCCAATAACTGGGCTGGTGTTTCAAGATTCAGCCGTGTAAATTGTGAAACTAATTGTGATTGGATTGTAATTGTCTGTCTAATTAATGCACTGATTATTGTTTTAAAATAGAAAGTACAAATATAAATATAAAAAGAACAAACATGTTTCAGGTTAGAGAGAAATACAAAATATAAAAATAAATGTGATTAAGGGATAAATATGTTTTTTTTTTTAGTTTTTCTTTCTAAACTATCTATCCTTTCTAATATCAATAGGAACCCTTTGGGGAAAATTAAGGGATAAAAACCCGCTGCCTGTGAAAAAGAAATCACATAGCCTCCTCCGAGTCGAAACGTCGTTGCACGCCCACAGTGCTGACGGTCTCGGTCGATAGTACAGACATGATCCCGTGTGGCAAATTTCTTCAAAACCCTTCTAATTTATTCTTTGGGCTACATGTATACAACACAGACACCGCAGCATCTGAAATCAGTGGAACTCGAAATCCAAAAGCGATTACTGGATGCATGCTGCAGAGATCGAGCGTAATTCTGGTATTATTATATTATAAAAAATTTATAGTGGACCTTGAATTGAAAATGACTTCAACAGATCGAGCGTAATTCTAGCATTATTATATTATAAAAAATTTGTTGTGGACCTTGAATTGAAAATGACTTCAACTTTTGGACAGGCATGGAAGGATTTGCCCTTCAACAATATCGTGCACCTTGTTGCTTATCCGAACAAAAGCCGCGCAGAAATCTCAAGATGATGCAGGATGTATCCCTCCCCCTCTCTGCGGATTGATGAAACTTTGGGCGGACGTAGAGCACATGCCTGCAAGATCAAGAACCAGCTTTATCTAAAATCACAGAGCCAATAATAATGGTAAAATACAATTAACTGGTAAAAAATCTTATGCAATGTATTATATAAATCTCCATTTTCATATTTAAGTTACGCACTGTAAAAATTATTGAGCATGAATAATAGTTCCATAAACATGTAATTATTTTTTTTTGTTAATGCTCAATGTTATACTGATCCTAGATAATTGAAGTGAGGAGTGAAAGCCTCGTCTCTTAAGAGGGGACATTATCCCAGGTTCATGACCCAGACATAAAATGAATAGGGATCCTCGATAAAATTATAAATGAAACCTTTTAAAATATATTTTTTAAGAAATATATTTTAATTTATTATTCTTCATGTATGTCTACTAATGAAAAGAACAATTTTCATTTCATAAAATATAATTGAAAAATAAACCTTATTTATTCTTGTAGTTTTTTTATTAAATGGGGTCCGTGGCCATTGCCCATGTTGCCCAAAATGCTCTAGCTCACTAAACACTTAGACAAGCATGCAAGATCTTCAGCAAGTGTTCGGTTTTCGCAAGTTAGAACGAACGAGGTGCACGAGAGGCAATACGAGCGTACCTCCCGCCTCATGTAGTCTTTGAAGAAGCGTAGTCATAAGCCTGCGTTTCTCTTGTTCTATCTACAAATAACCCATCAAGATTTAAATAACGCCATGCGAAATCGATCAAATGAACAAGATTTCCGAAATCTCTCGCTCGATGTCTTTCTACCGTGAATACAGTAGCTAGCTAGTTTTTATTTATTATAAATCAACAAGCTCGCTGCAAGAAACTATCAATCCAGCAGATAGCTTAAACGCAACCATTTCTCTCAATTTTCACGACCCTTGAGAGAAAAAATGCAGATCTTCAGCAAAGAGTTGACCGATACTGATGTTCGTTTTCGGTTATCGTTCCCAACTCATTGCTTGCAGCATCTAGATTTTGCTGGAAATAATCTTGTTGATTTGCATGTTAAAGATAGCTGCGGTGAGCTTCGAGTTATTCGTTGCCTGAAGAGAGATGGAGATTATGACAAGCCAGTACTTTCTAAGGGCTGGCGTAAATTTGTTGCTTATTATGGACTGAGAGTTGGTGACAAGGTTGTTCTTCATCGTGAGGATGACCATAACCTGGGGTCACAGTTCAGGATTGAAGCTAAGAGGAGTATCATGCTGTTTGGTGAGGAGGCTTGGGGTGATGTGACAAGAGCTAACTAGCTATTATTTGCATGGAGCTTTGCATGTTCAGCCATGTCCAGATAGAAGAATGATACGTATGTGTTTATGTTTGTGTTTGTAGTGATAATCAATGTTATTAGCACCAGTCTAATTAAATAAAGATGTTGTTGTTCTTCGTTTCTTGAATATGTATTTAATTATATGTGATCAGATTCCGTCTCTAATAGTATGAGTTATATACTATACATGTGCTAATAACAAATATTGAAATAAACAAATTACGTTTATATCTGGTAATTTTAATGACAATCACTCGCCGAGACTGTCTAATTTGTTCCGTTAAGTCTAGAATAGTCGGTATATCTTGTTTAGCTTAAAAAATATAATAAACCAGAACAAATTTTTCCTACTTATAATCTCAGTTCATTCCATGAACTCCAACCAAATTTTGGCTGGGACTACTTTCCTGTTCCGTTCTAGACAAATAATTTTGTTTTTTTTTTTTTAAAATATTATCTAATTTTACAATATTAATCATATTTGTCAATCTAAATATAGAATTAGGTTAAAATTTTACTAGAAATCACGTGATAATATTATTATATTTTAGGTTAAAAATTTAGTGCAATCAAGGTTTAAAAAAACCTTATAAAATTGTCGATAATATTTTCATAATTTTATTTTAAAACATTATTTTTTTAAAACATTATTTTTTTATGTTTTTTATATTGATAGTTTTTTTAATTTTATTATTTAACAATAAATTTACTGAGAATTAAATTTTATAATTTGTTTCATTTAATATTATTATGATCCCATAACTCAGATTATAGATTTATAAAATTAACCAGGATGACGTGAGTTGATCTAACATATTATCACTTCAATATTTAAAAAAAAAATATATTATCTTGAATATTTTTAAAATAAATTATATTTTTATTAATTATTTAAATTATTTTTAGACTCATAAATTAGCTGAGTCATACTGGTTTAACATCTATTTTTTTTACTAGTATTTAAAATTTGGATTGCTTAATTTAAATTTGAATTACGTTAAATTAATATTTTGAGAATTATACATATAAATATTACAACCCTACAAACAATATATTCAAACTTTTTCAATTGAAAAAACAGAACGCTAACTTGAACGGATTTGTTTAAGCAGAGCAATTGTAACCTGGACTCCACCGTTAGCCTGTGAACTCAAGATTCCAACTTCCCCTTTCCTTCCTAGTTTATGTGAAGTTTGATTGGTTTTGTGATGTCTCAAGAGGACAGTTTTTTTTTTCCCCCCTTTTGTAAAGAAGTTTGAAGCAAGCAAGCAACCATCAAGAAAATATGTAGCTCAGTACTGAATTGAAACATGCCTAGTCCTTTAAAATTCACAGAACGTAATGGGAATAGTGAGAGTAATTCAATAAAGATGCACTGAAACTGAGAAGAGAAACTTACTTCTTTCCCCCTCCTCTTTTGATAAGCCCAGATGGAGGGATTCACAAAAGGCATCAAAATTGCCCCAAACCTGTAGCAAAACGCAAAGAAAGCTGGTTGGTATACAATACTCCTGCTAAGGAACTTGAAGAAAGAAAGCGATTTGGCATCGCTGCAGCAGCTAGAGAGATCTTGAAAGAGATGCTCAGCCTACCTCTTTACATGTATCAAAAACAAGAACACCCAACATTCCAATTCTGGTTCACATCCAAGATATTGCCTCGGTCAATGCAGACGAGAGTGTTGAGGTCAACAGCGAAGCCTCCATGATTTGCTTATTAATTGGATCCTCAAAAACAAAGAGCAAATACCATGAGAATATTCGGAAGCAATAATTGAAGGAGCTTAAGCAAAGATGCCATTCATATCTATTAAGAGATTAGGTAAAAAGAATGGGGAACTACCAGGAACGTAGGAATAGATTGCGTTTGAAGGAAAAGAAGCGGTATTATTTTGACTCACAATCTTGGAACAAGTACAAATAAGTCCTTCTCCTTTATAGTCTGGCTAATCTACCCCCAAGCTTTCTTTCCATGTTAGTCTTGCCTTGGCGTTTGCCCCTCTCTCACACTGCAGATATAAATCATGCTCGTCTTCTGTTTTCGCAGATACAAAACCCCGGTGCTTATATTTGGAATACCATGATTAGAGGCTACTCTGAAGCCAAAATGGGCCATAGTGGCTTCTTGTTTTTCTGCCAAATGCTTCAGAATGGGGCTGAAATGGACTGCAGGAGCCAAAGCGTGCGGCGAGCAGTTTTTGAGAGTTTTAGGAGGGAAATCAGTTCATTGTGGTATTCGAAAGATGGGTTTTGTTTCTGCTATGTTGTTTCAAGATGGGTTGGCTCGTTTTTATGATCTGCGTGGTTGTTTGGGTTTTGCTTGACACTTGTTTGATGGAATTCCTGCTAGAGATGGACTTTCTGTCTACGACTGATGGGTATTCTAAGCGAAACTGTTGTGATGAGACCTGGAAGCTTTTTGAGTGGAGGGCAATGTAGAGCCAGAAGAGGTCACTATGATAGCGGCTCGTTCAGCTTGCTCGCGGAAGGGGGGTTTGAGATTAGGGAAGAGTTTTCACGAATATGTAAAACTAGAAATGTAAATCATGATGTATGTGAAATGTGGCTGCTTGGATTCTGCGAGAGGGATCTTTGATACCATGGGAGTTAGAGATGTGTTCTCTTGGACGAGTACGGTTAATGGGTATGCTAAAAGCGGTGAGCTAGAGCTAGCATTCAGCGGTGAGCTAGAGCTGGCAAGGATGTCGTTTAATGAGATGCCGGAGAGGAATGTGGTTTCCTGGAGTGCCATGATTGCTGGGTAACCACCCAAAGGAAGATTTAGAATGGTTTGTAACATGCTGGAGGCTGCGTTTGTTCCAATGGAGAACATTAGTTCGTGTGCTCTCTGCTTGTGGTCAATTGGATTGCTTGGAATTTGGTCAGTGAATCCATTGAAACTACATCATCGTTACAAAACACAACGAATCAGTGTGATCATAGCAAACGCGTTCATTGACATGTATGCTAAATGTGGGGCTATACAAGAAGCTGAAAATAGGGAGTGTCAGCGTTTGGAGTCTCTTCCTGCTGAGATAGAGAGGAATTTATATATTTCTGATTCAGCTGATAGAAGAAGAGTGTGGCAGGTAGAGAAGAATGCGATTTTCACACTTAAATCGGGTTGTGCTCTCATTGATGATATTTGGCATCCAACATCTAAGAATTTTGGTACTTTACTCTGGCAATGTATATTTCCTCCTAAAATTAAGATGTTTCTGTACTTGTTGTTGCAGGATAGTTTGAGCATTAAGAGATTTCTTGCCTACAGTAAAATTATTAGTCATGATGATGCTTGTTGTTCTCTTTGTGATATGGAAATTGAGACCATTGATCACCTTTTTATTCATTGCTATGTTACTTAGAGGTTCTAGAATCGTTTTATGCAATGGATTGTATATGATGGGTCGCCTAATTGGTTGCTGAAGGTCGAGAATATTTTCAAAACACGAGAAGAAATTATTTATATGTGAATCATTAAGGTTTGATATGTACAATTTTTTTTAAATACATAAAAGTATTGAAAAGTTCTACATATAATTTTTTTTTTGTTGAGAAAGAAAAAGCTAATTAGCGGTGAAACACAAGTTAAATATTTAGTATAAACTAAAAAAGATGGTGTTTTTATTATGCACTACCGTGTAAAATACTATTCATTTCAATAATATTTTTTTTATTTTTTTTTCTAAATATACATTTTTTTTAATTTTATACTTTAATATTTAGTTTATTGAAGATTAGGTTTTATAACTTATTGTGGTTTGTTTTATATATATGGTTAACTCGATTTTGTAATCCTTATCACAGGTTTAACGGGTTGACTCCAGTTTTTTTTTTTAATTGATAATTTTTTTTTCAATTTCATCATTTTACATTGAGTTAATTAAAAATTAAACTTTATAATTTAGTTTCAATTTGTTTTTTATTGAAGTTATTATAATCTCATGATCAAGGTTATAAATTTGATCATTTAACTCGTGTTGATCTGAGTTAAAGTTTTTATTAACTTTTTTATTGGGATTTTTTCTATTTTATTTTTTCAACATTTGGTTGATTATGAATTAGGCTCTATGAATTATTTTGGTTTACTTTTTATGAGATTATCTCGATCTTATGCTTAAGTCATGTGTTTTGTGGGTTAACTCGAATAAACTCATATTGTTTTCTTGTATCCTATTTTTATATTGAATTTTGTTCATTTTCAACCTTTAACAATGAGTTTATTAAAAATTAGGCTTTATAATTTTTTTTTAATAGGATTATTATAATTTCATGATCTTAATCATGAATTTAATAAATTAATTCAAGTTAACTTATTTTTGTTGAGAAAGAAAAAGCTAATTAGCTGTGAAACACAAGTTAAATATCTAGTATAAACTAAAAAAGATGGTGCTTTTATTATGCATTATCTTGTAAAATATTATTCATTTCAATAGTATTTTTTTATTTTTTTTTCTAAATATATATATTTTTTAATTTTATAGTTTAATATTTAGTTTATTGGAGATTAGGTTTTATAACTTATTGTGGTTTGTTTTATATATATGGTTAACTCAATTTTGTAACCCTTATCACAGGTTTAACGGGTTGACTCCAGTTTTATTTTTCTTTTTTAATTGATTTTTTTTTTCAATTTCATCATTTAGCATTAGGTTGATTGAGAATTAGGTTTCATGATTTATTTTGATTTGCTTTATACAAACTTATTTCAGTCTCATTACTTGAGTTGCGGGTTTGGCAGGTTAACTTAGTTAATTCGTGTTTTTATTAACTTTTTTATTGGGATTTTTTCTATTTTATTTTTTCAACATTTGGTTGATTATGAATTAGGCTCTATGAATTATTTTGGTTTACTTTTTATGAGGTTATCTCGATTTTATACTTAAGTCATGTGTTTTGTGGGTTAACTCGAATAAACTCATATTGTTTTCTTGTATCCTATTTTTATATCAAATTTTGTTCATTTTCAATCTTTAACAATGAGTTTATTAAAAATTAGGCTTTATAATTTGTTTTTTTTAACAGGGTTATTATAGTTTCATAATTTTAATCGCGAATTTAATAAATTAATTCGAGTTAACTTAAATATTATTTATTTATTTTTTATAAAATTATTATGATGAGCTCAGACTTGTAAGGCTAAAATGATAATAAATAAAGATGGTAATTGTGCCCTTTTCCATTCAAATCGGCTTCCATTTATTTAAATGGAGGTGGGTATGGAGGGACTCTTACCTTTATGGATTCGGAGTTGCTGGTAGGTAAACAAATACTTGATTTATTCGGGCATGGTGATTTGCGGAGTATCATTGATTTAATGAATTTATAAATAAATAATATATTAAATTAATTATTTTGAAATAATTATTTAAATTAATTTATGTAGTTTTTTTTTACTAGATCACCTTAGTTAACTTTGTTTGATAAATAAAAAATATTTTATTTAATAAAATTTATCATGATAAAAAACTACATGGACCTCAAATGAAGGCTTGCCTCCAATAAAGCATACATGCATGATTGAAAATTTTGTTCAATTTAAATGAAGATGGTAAAGCGGTTAAGGCAGGTAAGGCGGTTAAGGCAGTGTTTGGTACTGTAAATGAAAAGTATTTTTGAAAAATTTTAATTTTTTTATTTTAAATTAATATGTTTTTTATGTTTTTAGATCATTTTGATATATTGATATCAAAAATTATTTTTAAAAAATAAAAAAAATAAATTTTATTTTATTTTTTATGTTTTTAAATTATTTTGATATACTGATATCAAAAATCTTTTTAGAATGAAAAAAACTTTAAAAAACAATCACTACCACACTCTCAGATACTCTCTAAAAGCCTTCAAAGAGGTTGAGACAAGATTTAAAATCTATATTAAAAAATAATATAAATTATACATTACATCACGCCTAATAATTTTAATTTTTTAATTGAAATGGTTATTTAACAAGATATTAATTACAAATTAAATAATTATGTGTTAAAAGCTTAATATAAATTATATATTCATACATCATTTAAGAGTTATATAATAAAAATTATGTCTATGGATTAAACATTTTATATCTATCAATTGACAAGAGGTTTTATAAGTTAATATTTAATTATTTGAGATCTTTCATTAATTTAAAAAAAGTGATATTTCTTATATTACACCACTAATAGAGATTGCTTTCTAAAATATTTTTTACTTGAAAATATATTAAAATAATATTTTTTAATAAAATTTATTTTTGATATTAGCACCTTAAAACATTTCAAAACATAAAAAAATAATTTAAAATATTAATAAATTTTTTAAAAATATAACTATACCACACATGCAATCACCACCATATTTGGAAGTCTTTTTCATTTCATATATAGAATTTGATAGAGAACATATATTAGTTTTTCATGGGTAAGTTTTAACTCGATCAATTGCTATTATTTGTGTTATTATGCTTGTTGTTCTTCTTATGTTATTATGATTATTTGCTTATTGTGTATTAATAATAATCATTATTATAAAAAATAGTAAAAGTGTAAAACAAATAAGGAGATTTTTGCTTAAAAAAAAACATTTTGAAATTAGTTACAGAAGACAGTAAATTGAAAACGTTGTCTAAACTCCAAGTTCATGATTACAACTATAGAATCTTTAACGGTCCTTATTCAGTCAAAAACCTTGTCATCGCCTGCATGGTATAATTACATCGACAGGACAACCAGCAGTGGACGACGTCAACGTGAGCCTTTAGAAAACTCAAGCCCCACCAAGCCTGGAAAAGAACAAAACATGAGACACCAAACCAAACATCACCAACTTGCAAGCATCACTGAATTTGACAAAGAACATATCTCGGTCTCTTATGACAGGTTTTAACTTGACTCCTCACTACTGTTTATGTTGTTGTGATTGTTTGCATGCCATGACTATAAAAAATAGTAAAATATGACGTGCTCTTATTAAAAAAAAATAAAAATATATTTTGAAATTAGTGATAGAAGACAGGAAATTAAAAACATAGTCTAAACTCCAAGTTCATGCATACAACTATAGAATCTTTCGAAAATAAAATTTATACATTATATTGAAAAAATAAAATTATTATGAAAAAAAGGGATCAGGTGGATCTCTCGTCCCCTCAAGTAAAATCCTTCTATTTTTAATTTAACAAATCTGGAAAAAAAAAATATATATCAAGCCCACCAGGGTGGACGAGAGGAAACCGAAAAACAACCAAGTATTTAAGAATAAAACATGTGAAATGGCTGAAGAAAAAAGAGAGACACCAAACCAAACAGCAGTAGCAACTCATCCTCCTCCCGGTTCCTCCTGGTTTAAGGGAAGGAGGGGAGAAAGACAGTAACATTCTTACAACATTGGCCCTATCATTCCCTGCCCGCCTCAAAAGATTAAGCTTTTCTTTTAATGTTGAAATTTTGCCCTATCATTCCTATGTTAACTGGATTTTATTATTATTAATAATAAATATAGGGTAATTAAAAGGTGCTCAGCTTCTAAAATTCAGGATTTAATGAGATTCTTACGTTAACTGGATTTTATTATTATTATTATTATTATTATTATTATCATGCGAAACTATTATTGCTAAAATGATAATAAATATATAAAGATGGTAATTGTGCCCTTTTCCATGAAAATCTGCTTCCATTTATTTGAATGGAGGTATATAGGTTGTCCTCAAAGCATCTACAATCCCGAAATATAGCATCAGCTAGGATCCTTTTCTAGATATTAGAAACTCAGATTACTATATATGCATGGAAATGGTGTATATGCATGGAAATGGTATATTTTTGTCTGAAAATAGCACATTTTTTTATTAAAAAAATAGATTAAAAGCCTTAAAAATCGATGAAAGTTTTTAGCTTTAAGAACATGAATGTAGAATTGATACAAATTATCCTGAAGTGGTTTTTAATCTTAGCATTGTCCATCAACTAAGGTCTTCCCTTTTAGCATGTTCCTCAAATTTACAAGATCAAATGATAATAAAGAAGAAAGAAATTTAGCAACCTCCTTTTGGAAAAATCTCTCTTGTTCCTAAATTTTGATCTTTTTGTTTAACCTTTTAACCATAATAATAATCGCATACCATATGTTTATTATTAATAATGACTGAGATAATTACACTCTTGAAATTTGAGTAATATAAATTATATAATGGACTGTTTCTAGGAGGATACTTTTGAAGTAAAGCTCTAAGATATATATAGAAAGATACTGGAAGCGTAGGGAGGTAGTCAAGGGATGGAAAGGATGATGTCGTGCAGTCGTGCTTACTGTTTGGTGATTGCATGATAAAAATATTAAACAGTCATATAAGCCAGTGGAAAGAGACTTGATAAGATATTGTTGTGTTTTCTGTACGTAAGCAATAAAAGGAAAGATAGAGATAGTCGAGCAATATCTTATATTTTAAAAGAATAAAAATTTCTTATATAATTTAATTAACGGGCTTATAGTTTTGAAACTTCATGTAATAAAAGCCAAATCAAGAATGGTTTTGCAGTTTCTAGCACACCTCAAGGCCATGTCCATCCCACCTTTTTTCCAAAGGAGGATCTATCATCTCTATAAAAACAAAAATGAAAAGTGAGAAACACAAGGAATCCATTACATGGGAGCTGTGATGGACAACCAGCAGACCTTTAGAAAACTCAAGCCCCACCAAGCCTGGAAAAAAACGACCAAGTCCTTGAGAACAAAACAGGAGAAGTGGCCGAAGAAAAAAGAGACACCAAACCAAACACCACCAACTTGCAAGCATCACCGTATTATTTAATTGAAAAACAGATCTTGTTCTTGTATATACACGAGTATTAATTTCAATGGTGATTTCACAAAGCGTGTGGATAAATTCAATATCCAAATTCCACAAAATATGATTTAATATGCGAAACTATTATTGCTAAAATGATAATAAATATATAAAGATGGTAATTGTGCCCTTTTCCATGAAAATCTGCTTCCATTTATTTGAATGGAGGTATATAGGTTGTCCTCAAAGCATCTACAATCCCGAAATATAGCATCAGCTAGGATCCTTTTCTAGAAGAAATTACTACTCAAGTAAAACAGCAATAGTTAACAATTGAAACTCAGATTACTATGCAAGGAAATGGTATTTTCCCTTCCCAGCTTTCTAGTAATTCCTCCGATATATAAGATAAAGGACTGTGTGAGTGGACAGAATTTAATTTTTATTGAATGTTGGTGCACTCGCTAGAATGAAAAGATTACTGGCAAACCTCACCCTTGAACCAATGAGATCGTATCAATTTTACGTATAAACTATATTTTCTATTAAATCTATTCCGATTAAAAACTTTTGGTATAATTATTTAATGAAAAACGACAAGTTTCTTATAAAATGATACATTTTTGTCTAAAAATAGTACATTTTAAAAAAAAGATTAAAAGCCTTAAAAATCGATGATAGTTTTTAGCTGAGAAGCTTTAAGAATATGACGGTAGAATTGATACAAATTATCCCGAAGTGGTTTTTAATCTTAGCATTGTTCATCAACGAAGGTCTTCCCTTTTAGCTATGTTCCACAAATTTACAAGATTAAATGATAATAAAGAAGAAAGAAATTTAGCAACCTCCTTTTGAATAGATCTCTCTTGTTAACTGAGTGTTCATGAGAAAATTTAGCTATGTTCCTAAATTCTCATCTTTTTGTTTAACCTTTTAACCATAATAATAATCGCATACCATATATTTATTATTAATAATGACTGAGATAAAGATAATAAAAATCCCAAATTTATTAGGAATAATTACACTCTAATGATTGGTTAAACTTTTTTTGTTCATAAATCCCATCTTCACTATCTCTATATATCCCATCCTCACCTACAGTCGTTGATTACCAGTAAAGAAACAAATATCAACGACTGGAATATTGGATAAATAGCCCATCGTTCATAGTGTATACAAAATCCAAGGATATACACAATGAACAAATATTAACCTCCCACCACAATGAACTATAATCTAAGATACCAATCTAGGTGGTGCGGGTGGTCCCTACAATCTCAAAGAAACAAAGAAAGAGACAATTGTCACATTTACATTAAGGAGCCCATATGATGACTTTTGAAGCAGTCGATGCTACTGATAATGTATGAAGGTTTTGCTTGTCAACCCGTCTGACTGGAATCAATACCCAACACCCGTTCCGGAGAAGAGAATAAATCTAAGAAAAATTACGAGGTAGCTCTGGAATTAAGTAACCAGTATATATACTCTAAGAAACAACAGAGAAAGAGAGTATATATTCTCACGCTGGCCAACTGCGCAAGTGCTCACGCTAGTGTTCTGGAGTTGCGAGTTAACATTTACTGGCCATGCTCATGCTGCCCAATTGTAAATAATATTTTTTGGAGATACATAGTTCAAAACACCAAATCCCATCTTCACTATCTCTATATATCCACTGCCTATAGGTTCCATTTAGATTACAAGGTAATAGAGCTAATCTCTGCTCCAACACGAGCCTTCTCTCTTCACAGAAACTCTTGTATCTCCTGAAAAAGAATGGAACCAGTGCAAGTACTCTTCACGAAGAAACTAAAACCATCCCACATAAGCCATGCTCTTTCAATTCCAACCCATGTCCTTGAGGCTTTTCCAATTCCTGAAGGAGCCCATATGATGAATTTTGAAGCAGTCGATGTTACTGATAATGCATGGAGGTTTTGTCTCTCAACCCGTATGACTGGAGCTTACCCAAAACCCGTTCTTCTACGCTCTTCTTGGCATCGTTTTGTAGAGCAGAAAGGCCTTGCTCCCGAAGACAGGGTTGTCTTCTTCATGGAGAGAGATGAAGCTAATGACATGATCAGGAGGTACACGGTTAGAGCCCAACGAAAAGTGATGACCTTGATGGCGCAAGATGTTTGGGTCGATGTCGAGCATCTTCCCCTATATGGTCTTTGAGGAGTTTGACATATAAGCTGTTAGGCCATTTGCTTAGCGGTAATCATTATCATGCATATTACTGTGTAATTAGTATCCCGTTTGGTTTCCAAGTTTCTTTCCTTTTCTTCTTAATGTATGTGTGCCTCTCGTGCCCTCTGAGCTTTGAATCGAAAGAATATAATATTGAAGCCAATAAAAATAACTAAAAGTCTTTCCAACAAGACATAGTGAGCATCAATGGGGGAAACCAGGACCAGCTGGAATTGGTGGTGTGTTCACGTGTTATTTCTCCTGCACTGCTGGCTTTATTGATTCGAGTGAGGCAGAGTTGCTGGCGATACACAAAGCCCAAGCTTAAGATCCTGGAAACTTGAGACCTTTTATGAGCTTCAATATATTGTTAAGAAGACAGTTGAGGGAAACAATTTTTACACACAGAGAGGCTAACCATGCAGTAGACCAACTAGCCAAAAATAGTGTTAATTTTACATTAGACTTCATTGATTGGTTGTAATCCCTTTAATTTGTTGTTTCCATGTTCGTTAACTCAAAAGGAAGCTATAGAACATCACGTGAGTGGCTGAAACAGCGGAAAAAAACAGAAAAGGTAATAGTCAAGCTAACTATGAAATCAAGCTCCGCTTTGCTAATGACATGCCACAACTTCCCTCTCTCAAAACGTGAAGAAAGGCCACTGTTCCCAGAGTTGCCATTAATGGAAATAAAATTAAAGAGACGCAGCATCCTCCATGGCCTGGCTGCTAACCGAATCTGATTCCACAACCCAATCAAGCTGACTTGCCAACGATGAGGGAACACTAATCGTCAATGCTTTCTTAACGGGGCAAACTTCAGTCTCATTTGAATCCATGTCTTCAATCATGCAAGAGAAAACGCACAAGAAACGACCCTATGGGTCTCTCAGAACGCCTCCAATTCCTGCACTTCCTGGTTTCCCTAAGAATCCTCTGCATCCCATTTTGCAGTACCATCCTCGGGTTTCTTCCAGCTACTGTCAAGCTAGATTTCTTTTTTTCCCCTGATGCAAGGGTCTACTGGCTCATCGATCATGGATCCCCTGTATCTTGTGGTTTTTAGACCATTTTCCAAACATACACTCAAAAGTGGTTTTATGTGTACAAAATACAAAGTAGACAACCTGCTTTCTATGATCCCCAAAAAGTATGCTTTGCGATATGATTTTTTAAATCTATTTTTTTTTAAATTTTTACAGTGATTAAACTAAATAGTTTTTAGAAATTAAGCAATTAAATTATTGATTAAAAATATAATTCCAGTTAACATTTCATTTTCTTATCCATATATTTCATTTTTGTTTCATTCAAGGGGAAAATCACCTCTATTGAGTTCCTTCTTGATAATATAATCTATAAACACTAAAATCAAAGTTTTTAGTAATTG